CTCCTTGGAGGACATGTACGAATTGAGGCTGTGCATCAGCGGGTGCTCCGCTTTGATGCGAGTGATGTGGAAGCTTCCCAGGCGACTGTACGAGTTTCGCTTTGCCTTCACCTCAATGCCAATCAGCGGATTGATGGCCATCACAAACCACTGCATAAAGGTGTCAATCAGGTGGCTTTCCACCTTATCGCCCACCTCCTCAATGATCGACTGAAGCAGTCGGTGAAAGCCAGTGGGCAAACGGAACAGCTTGTGAAGTGAACTTTCCAAGTCTTTTGAGCCCTTTCTGAGCGCATTTCGGGAAACAAAGCTTTCAGCCATTGCCACTAGTTTGCTATACTCCTTCTGGAGGCCATCGCGGAAACCCTTTAGCGCGTGCCAGTTCACTCTGATCAGTTTAGTCTCCAAGACAAGTGGGCACTGCATTGTCTGCAGCGCAGTGCCTTCTGAGGCAAAGGAGTAAAAGCTGTGCAGTTGATTGTAGTTTGCAGGTGGGTACTTGAAGGACGCCTGACCAAAGTTGAAGTAGCACTGCTGGTTCACCGCCAAACTGGCAGAGGCAAAGTAGGGCAGCGAGGAGAAGTGAATCCTAACCTCGCCAAGATCGACCTTCTCTCCATTGTGGTAGAAGGAGAAGCTCTCCAGGTTGAAGTCAATCAGACAGCCGATGACATCGCCACACTTCCACCGGCTCATATCCTTCACCGGCTGGTCCACCTGATTGTGCCACAGGCGACGATGGTGGCCATCAAGGCCAACCGAGTACAGGTCAGTGCCCAGACTGCTGCTGGAGGAGTTGCCAGAGATCCAGCCCAGGCGCATCTCACCGCTGGTGAGGAGGACCACCTCGTAGAAGAAGACCTCCGAGTTGACCGACAGCGGACAGTGAATGGAGGGCAGATTGAAGAGGTCGTCATTGCGGACTGACAGTCCGCTAGGTGACAGCTTCAGCTGAGCCGCCGGCCTCTGCCCTTGCCCGGTGGCCAGCAGCTGCAGACAGCTGAGTGCCTGGAACGCAGTCTGGTACTGAATGCAGCCGCCAGTGCCGCCGCTGTACAGCAGCTCAAGTGGATCACAGCCATCATCGTCGTCGGCCTTGATGGCGAGGTTTTCAAGCAGCGCGTAAAGTGCATCACATTTGTCAGTTAGCTGCTTTCGGTGATCAAGTAAGAGCAAACATAGGTTGAGCGTTGCCGTCACGGCGTACAGTTTTGTTTCCACATTTTCACTCTGCTGGATAATTCTCACCAGGTACTCCATTATCAGGGAATACGTGCCCAGTTCATCCGGAAGGACTTGTTTATCTCGGTGCAGCTGCAAAAATCGTAGCACAATGACCAGTGTGAAGCAGACATTTCGGTGTTTGGTCCAAAACTGATCAAGTTGGTCCAACTCTGGATTCACAAACGGATCAATCAGTGATATTAGCTGGTCAATGTTGAAACGTTCAGATTTGTTTTTAATTGACAGTAACAGGCGGTACTTTTCAATGTTCAGCGGCTCTTCAGTGTCCAGCAAGTTGATGAGTGATTGAATGAGCCGCAAGGTTTTATGCTGGAACTTAAACTGCACCGCAGCTTCATTGTCATGCTGTTCATAAAATGCTTTCAAAAATTCATTGATGCTTATTTGTTCATTGATGTACTTGGAGAGAATCAGATCAGTTTCATACTGCTCAAAATCGCAAAAGTATTCAATTTTTCCCAGCTCCATTTTCAAACGTTTAACAATTGTTGTCGTTGGTGTCAGCTGCAGACGATTAGTTAAGAAAATTCTAAATGCGCAAAAATTGTGTCAAAGTTGTAAATAGTAGCACTGAGATAAGATGATGGCTCAACTCCTGACAACACTCACTTTGCAGACAACTTTTGTTTTGCAGTGCAATAAAAGCTAGTGACATAACTATGCTCTGATGACGTACGACAACGCATTTTTTCATAAGAAAAACTTCTAAACCAAGTATTTTTTGATAAACTAAGCTGGCGTGCACTATTTTTAAACTTGGCTGAAAACATGTGACATTATGATTTTAATTTAGTAATAGAAAATGGTTTATTACTTGTTTGAAACTTATTTTGTTTTTTATTGAGTTTCTAAATTTCAAGCTGTTTAAAAGTTTTAAAAGTGTTTGCAATGATTGCAATGATTGATGAGATAATCTGGCACATTACCGATTACTGCTAATCACAGTTGGCAACAACACCTACAGTCAACTAAATTAAAAATATCAAAGTTTAAAGTTATCTTAACCTCACCTGTGGCACAATGAATCAGCTTACATCAGTTGCTATAAGTGGCTAAACCACAAAGACATTGGGCACACGTACATGCCAATTTGAAAGACACAGATTGCAGTATAAAAAGCGGTAGGCTGCCATCACTAATTTGGTAGTAGACTAACTAGTGGAGCCCTACAGAAACCATCATGTACCACCTGACTGTGAGCATTGTCCTGGCGGCATTCATCGCCCTGGCCCACTCGGCCGAAGAAGTTAATGTGGGCGGCTACCTGAGCAAGGCGCAGGAGAACGTCGACCAGCTGTCGGTGCACTGCTTCAAACCCAGCGACGACGACACCATCTACAAGTACAGCATTCCTCACCTGAACGAATCCCAGGGCGTCATCGACTTCGCCAAGTTCAAGGGCAAGCCGCTGCTGCTGGTCAACGTGGCCACCTTCTGCCAGTCCGCCTCTGAGTACCCGGTGTACAACAAGTTTGTAGAGAAGTACGGCAGCCAGATTGAGATTGTCGGCTTTCCCAGCAACCAGTTCTGGAACCAGGAGCCCTCCGCCAACGCCACCGAGATCTACAACGCCATCCGCTACGTCCGTCCCGGCAACGGCTTCGTGCCCAAGTTCGCGCTGACGAAGCTGGTGCAGGTGAACGGCGCCGGTGAGAGTCCGATCTTCTCCTTCTTCAAGCGGTCGTGCCTCTCCACGCGCACCCGCTTCGAGTCGGCGGAGTACCTGCTGTACGCGGAGAAGAACGCCCGTGATGTGCGCTGGAACTTTGAGAAGTTCCTCCTGAACCACGAAGGCCACGTCTACAAGCGCTTCGACCAGCACTTCAAGCCAGAGGGCCTCATTCCCGACATTGAACACCTCATTGCGGAGGCGAAGAAGGCTAAGAACTAAGCATACAAGGCAAGTGCACTGTTACTGTTACTGTTTTGTTACTGCTGCTGTTGTTGTTGTNACACCTCATTGCGGAGGCGAAGAAGGCTAAGAACTAAGCATACAAGGCAAGTGCACTGTTACTGTTACTGTTTTGTTACTGCTGCTGTTGTTGTTGTGTGCGTTTTTAATATCAGCAATAATATCATTAATAGTAATAATAAAATTAAAATGAAAAAGAGTAAATTGAGACAGTCGGGCCCCCCAGGTTGAGTGGGGAAAAAAGAGTCACACTGGCTGAAGATGGGTGACGCCCGAAATGAATGAGGAGAGTGAGAGATGGCCAAGAAAGGGCGAAAAAAGAAGGGTGTGCCAGCTGGCAGATGACGGGTAAAGATGGGCCCAACTGCAGCACAACAGCCCTGGAAACAACAACAACAGCCTAAGGGCTCTTCTCCTTCTTCTTGTTGCTCTTCTCGCTGGCGCTCTTCTCCTCAGTGGTCGGAGAGGAGAACTTCTCCGGTGGCGGAGTGGTGGAGGACTTCTTGCCAGTGGCCGGCGGTGAGTCGGTGGAAGATTTGCCGCCTCCATCATCAGTCGCCTTCTTAGCTGGCGGCGGCGGAGAGCTCGAAGATTTGCCTTCACCGGACTTCACCGAATTGGCCTCCTTTCCCTCAGCGCCTGTGGTGGACACCACCTTGCCAGATGGAGGTGATTTACTTCCGCTGCTGCCTCCTTCTTTCTTCTCCTTCTTTGAGTCATCACTAGTTGTAGAAGTAG